AGGAACTAGAGAAAAGGTTAGTTCAAGAAGAATTAACTTAGAAGGTAACACACATGTACAGGAAATCAATGTGAGTCAACTCCCTGTATAGCTATTCTTATCTCAACCAGCAAAAACCCTTGTTCCTTCTTATTATTGCTTATACTCTCTTCAGCAAAATTAGAGATAAGGGCAAAATAGTTTCTGCTGGGTAGCAAGGGGGGGGTAAGTGGGGGTAAGAGAGGGGGCAGGGGGAAGGGAGGAGAAATGACCCAAACATATACACATATGAGTAAAATAAAAATTAAAAAATAAATAAATAAAATGGTGCCCATGAGGGTGTTTGATAAGCTGTAAAGCATATGAATATTCCTTGTTTTTAGTTATATATTCCTTTAAAAAGTATTTATATCAAGCACTGTCAACATTTACAGACAAAAAGGTTTGGTTTTCCAAAAGTTGAAGACAGTGGCAATAAGAACCAAATTGTTAGGATTATGGATTCTAATCTCAAAGGCAAAGTGAAAATTCCCGTGGAAGTCAGCTCTCCTTCAACCACTTAACAAAATTCTCACTGGCTAGGATCACATCAAGGCATGCTTGTGAGCTCTGTGCATTTCCATTTTCCTCTGCACACAGTCTGTATAGCACAAGGTTTTTCACATCTCTCATCTCACTTGGTTACCTTTTTAGTAGAACTACGAATTCGAGGCAGCATATAAATTTCTTCTAGCTCCTTCTGCCGCTCTTCTTCCTCCACTTTTTTCCTTTGCTCCTCTGGAATGATCTCATCCCAGTCCTTGTGAGGACGCTCTTCCAGCTCTTCTTCATCTTCCATTGTTGCAAAATTGGCAACCTGAAAATGAAAGGACAACACACTGTGACTGACATTCTCCACCTCCCAACATCACCTACAAAACAGCAACTTAACCCGTATTTTTAATCTAAGTAAGAGACTGAGAGTAACAGGACTCCCGTAATAGTATAGAGTCAGGTGATTTTTCTATTACTTTCTCCTTTATCTCCCCCAAATCCACTTGTCTGACCCATAAGTTTACCAGAAGTTTTAACTGGAAAATAGGGAATCAGATACAAAGACACAAACTGCTAATTTATATTGTTAAATCATGTGTTTTAAAACAGATAAAACAAACAAGGTCTATCTATTATTCGGCTTGAGTAAGGCATGATGATGTACTGTTGCACTTCAAGAGTGCAGCAGTCACAGCACTCATCACTAGTCAACTAGTCAGTTACCTCACTCACTTTTATCAAAAGCATTGAACATCAAGGGTATGTGATGACCGCACATTCTCAAAAGTGCACTGGGGTCTCAGGAGTGAAAATGAAAACAAAATGGAACAACTTCAAGCCAATCTACAAAGTACTCTACTTAATTTATTTTAAAGGTGAAATCAAGGGGGTTCTTTTGTTGTTGTTTTGAGGTTTTATTTTTTCCTTTGTGGTGATGGAGCCCGAACACAGGCCCTTGCACACGCCAGGCAAACAATCCATTAGTAAGCTACATCAACTGCCCTTTATCTCACAGCAAACATTATGTAATGTCTACTATCTATGTGCACTGAAATAGCATGTACCCCAGAAGGAAAACCATCCACATAAGCATCAGTGTTTCACAGAATCAGACTAGAGGCACAGAGAAACATGGACCCACTCTTGGCAGTGGTGTACAAGCCCCAAGCCCAGGCACCATATTTTTATTCCTCACTCCCAGCCTCTAAGACTATCATGAAGTACACAATAACTTTGCAGGTTCTATTCCTCAGAACTTTACAACTTTTGGCCAAAATTAATTCTTTAACGTCTAACAAAGATATCATCATCTCTAATATTTTTTTAATTCCAAGACAGAATGCAGGTATGATTCTAAGACTGACCCATCTGTTCATTCTCTCAAATTAAGCATTTGTAATTAGTTCAGATCTGACTTTTAAAACAGCCAGATAAAACTGATTAAAAAAAATGATGTAACTATCACATATGTGAATGGCTCACGCCATTGGGAATTTAGCTTTTCCAAAGGCAATGCAGTGATTAAGGGTCAGTCCCTGGAGCTGGACCCACATGTGTGGCTTAGGAGACTTACTTAGCCTCTCTCTGCTTCAGTGTCTGCATCTGCAAATGAACGGTTCTTCAAGCATAGTGAAAGTTACACAAGTGTTATTTATTACTGCTGAAGAACATGGTCAAAGTGTATCCCAAACAGATGCTTGCTATGTTTCCAACATGTTAAATTAGAATATAAATAATTTATTTATTATTTATTAATATATTTTTTATATAAATAAATAAAGAGGGATGATGAGGAAAACTAATGCTGGTTTAGCTGAAGCACTTCACAACAGAAAGGAGGGAGCAGACTCCTACCGTTACTCATACCGTTTGATTAGAGGTTGGGGAATAATGACCAACAAGGATTTAGGAAGGCAAGAGTAAGCAATAATGTGCTAGCTGTTTCTAAATAATCTGTAACATGCAGAAACTTTTACATCTACATAATCATATGATATTCTGACAAGAAAGCCATTATGAAGACCACATCTATTTATGTAGGAAGCAGTCATAAGAAGTGGAATCCAGGTGAATGTTTTTGTCCTGTCAAAATTCCTACCCCTCAACATGATGATATCTGAAGAGTGCTTTTGGAGGTGACTAGATCACAAGGGTGAGATTAGTCTCTTATAAAAGGGACACCAGAGAGCTCTCCAGGCTCTCCTGCCTTGTAAGGACACAAAAAAAGTCAACAGTACACAACCCAGAAGGTAGCCCTATCCAGAACCTGACCGTGCTGATATCCTGATCTCAGAAAGCTTCAGATCAGTGGGACATAAATTTCTGTTGTTTATGTATGGCAGCCTACGGTATTTTGTTACAGTGGCCAAAACTGACTCAGAAAGCCTTCGACACATTAACTCTAATTCTAGAGATCTTTCTCTCCCTCCTTTCCCTCTCCCTCTCTCTCATCCCCTTGCCCTTCCACCTGTGGGCAACCATGGAGAACATCTGACAATTCTGTTTCTTTCCAAATGCTCTGCCACTTCTCCCTCAATCCTATCTGATCTAAGGCCCTAATATCGCTGTAACTTTCACGTTTCTCTTGCTCCTCTAAAATGCATGGAATCAACCCACAGTCAACCCTTTCAACCACATGCTCATTTGAATCTTGGAAGCTTTTGCTATTTTTATTTCCTGGGCCTCCCAAGCCTATTTCCCACCTGGGGATTGCCAAGTGATACTATTTCTCTGATCTAAAGCATTGCTAAACAAAGTCATGTGATCACGGCTGACCAGCTCCACAGATGTATCATCTAGATTCAGCTGACTCCCTATCAAGTTCCTCCTACAGCTCTCAGCCCCACACCATGGCTATCCTCAGTCTTTCCTATCTCTCAGCAATAGCTCGCTTACTTTACTGGCAATTAAGGTTCTAAAGTTGAATCCCACATCTTCTCTCATCTTCCCTGAGGTAATCTTTCCCTTTACTTTCCTAGGCCAAATCCTCCATCTGTGCTTTTGGTTCTATCCTTTCCAATCTCCTCTGGAGAATGAACCATCAAATCATCTTCTTTCCTTAGAACCTTCAACATCTCCCTATTCCCAAGTTCCTTCATCAACTGAGAAACTCAGTAACTTTCTAAAATCTTGCCTTGCTTGACTCTTCTGTCTCCATAAATTATCTTCTCTCAGATACTCGAGTGGTGCCACCTCCCATTCATCTGGTGCCCAGCTTCTATGCTTAGCCCTGACCTTATTTAATTTTCGTTTATCAGACACCATCACCTCGCAGGGAAAATCATTAAGATTCCCCATCATCAGCTACTATTTCCATGTCTTAACCTCTCTCTGATGTCTGATTACATTAACGTCCCCACGTCTTCCCACACCTTCAGCTCTCCACCTACTCCACTAACAGCGTGTCCTCAGACCTCTTCACCAACTCCTCTTTCTCTGCATCTGACGCTTGGCAGGATGGCCCACTTCCATGGCCATCTTCATTTGGAGGACTGCAGACTACATTCACAGTGTAACTCAGAGTGACATTAAGGGTACAATTCAAGTCAGGTAAATGAAAAAGTAGAGAGTCTAGTACAAGCCTAAAGTGCTTACAGACACTAGAAATTATTAGTTAATAAACCAATGCTAAGAACTCCCCCACAAACATCTCATACCTTAAACTGTGACAGAAGCTCATCAGTGGCACTTGTTGATACTTCATTCTCTCTGGTTTCAGCCAAGCGTAAAATTTCATCTATATCCATTTCCTAAAAGAACAAAAGCAAAACAGATATGGTAAAAAGGCAACCGCTTCAACATTTGCTGAAAATGTTAGGCGTAAACAAACTGACTTTCCTATCTGACATTCTATTTACTCTTATAGTCTCATTTCTATATCCTGTACATGTTTCAAGTTTTATTATTATTAATAAACAGCCAGGCATGGTGGTTCATGCCTGTAATCCCAGCTCCTCAGGAGGCAGAGGCAGGAGGATCTCGAGTTCAAGGCCAGCCCAGGCAAAGTCAGTGAGACCATATCTCAAAAACAAAATAAAAACAACAGGGCTGGGGGCATAGCTCAAGTGGTAGAGCACTTCAGCACAAGGCCATGGGTTCCATCCCCAGTACCAAGGGGGGTTGGGATTTCCCCTCATGGTTGATTACCTGAGGCTCTGACTCTTCCCCTTCAAGTTCTTTGAAAAGATCCTCTGCTCCAAATTTCAAAATAGCTGTCAGCTCTTCTTTATTAAAAGGATTTGAGCTGTAGAAGTAAAATGTAGTTGTAATATCTTAGGAATGTCAAGTTCTAAGGAGTTGTTACTTCAGAATACCTACCCTTTATAAAAGGATCGGATAACCGGTGAAAGGTAAATTCTGCCCCAAGAAAAATGCCCTCATATATCTCATTTTCTGCCCACAGGATGAGTCTGTGGTGGTAAAGGAAACCTAGCAAACACCTAGAAAATCAATTACTGGCTCACCTATTACATGGTTAAGCAAGAAAGAAGATTAACAACATGAAAGAAGAGAGCTCTCTCTGCTCTTTGACTCAGAAAGTTACCAAATGAATACCAAAAATTTTCAATCTTCTCATCTCCGATCAAAAATAAAAACAATCAACCTTTTCTTTTCTACACTCATCTTGAATGAAAAATTACCTGAAAATATTCTATTTAGAAGAAACAAATTTGACTTCATCTTGAACACACAGCAGCAGTCAACAATCTGATCAAAAAGTAAACCCACTACTTTTTTTCTATACCCTTCTTTCAAATAGGAAAAAGCCTAACAATCGCCGCACAAATATTTTTACTATTAAAAAAAAAAAAAAAAAGCTTCCAATTTTGTCTAATGGAGTCACTGCTAAAAAGCCACAGGTAACACTGTGCTGGGCTGAAACCCAAAATGAGTGCAGTCCACTGCTCCCACTGTGTCATGTGTCATATGTCACATCACATGAGAAGCTAAAAGCAGAGACAAGGGAGGGAGCAGAAAGAGTGAGAGCACATGAGCAGAGGGCAGAGGGGCCAACAGAGAAAAAAAAAAGAAGCAGGAAAAAAAAAA